TATATATATATTCTGAAAACAGCAACTCTCAGCCAGGGCACTCCACAGAATTAAGCAATAAGGCATTTGGGCAGAGTGTGGAAATTACCGTTGTTTGCCTGATGAGAGGAGCTGCCGGCCTGAGCTGAGGCAGGACCATGAGTCTGGAGAGGAGCAGGGTTGCGAAGGCCAGGGGGGGCTGTGGTGAGTGCTGTCCTGAGGACAAAGCTGCACAGATGCCGGAGTCAGCACTCCAGGCAGTTTGGCTTTTGGACACCAACAGGAGAGCTCATTCTGTCACAAGGAGACTATTTGCTAAACTCTTGATTCCTCCAGCCCATAGAAGGTAGAAAAAGGACTAAGAAGGGAAGAGGGAGGGGGAGTGAGGGCCGATCGCGTGCTGGGCAGGAGCTGACCTGCATCACCTCACTGACCCCTCACAGCCACCCTGAGAGGGAGCGGTTATCCCTACCTGACAGGCCAGGAGACGGAGTTTCCATGTCTTTGCCTGAAGTCACACAACTAGTATTGGGAGGGGACAGAAGCCAGCTCTGCTCATGTCTGGGGGCTCAGGCATGCCAAATACGGAAATGTCACCGAAGACTCCATTCTCAGCAGCCTGGAGACTCTTGTCCATTGTGACCTGAGAGGAAGGGGACATGGGCAGAAGCAGACCCCTGCTCTGGGCTGAGGAAGAACAGATGTTAAAAGACCTGAGCACAGGCAGGGCATAGAAGTGGGGGAGTCGTTGCCCTAGGGATCTGGTGCTGCTTGTCCTCCTGTGAGGGCCAGGCCACCTGCTCCCTCCCCACCTGTCCCCATCCCCAGCTGCCTGTCCTAGTCCCACCCCAAAACCAGCCTGGGGGAGTGCCTCACAAGCTGGATCATTAGGTTTTCTGCAGATTTCCTTCAAATAGAATGGCCGGGATTCCACCCAACGCTGCAGGACCATTTGGATCACTCTGTCTGTCCAGGATCCCGTGTGTGCAAGCTCTACTGGCCCATGTGGGCCCGTTTTGGCCTCGGTTCTGTGCTCAGAACTGTTAGAATCAGTCTTCATTTTAAATACCTGTGAAATGGAGATAA